TTAGTTCTTATTGCTATGTGGGGCATTAGCAGTGCTGGGCTTTAGTATTTGAGATATGTATTGTGCCCTAAACGATAGACTATAATTTTTATGGGCTTACCCATGTCACTACTAAATAATTATTCTCTATTATTATCTGTTGAATGGTCCAAAATTGCCATTAACGTCTATCTGTAAGCATAATGAATGACAAAGAGGCAGAACGAGGGAGGCATAGTATCACCCCACTCTAGGGTTAGCTTTGCAAGACAAAAAGAATGTCAAGATCATGTCTGCTACTTCAAAAAGAAATGTACAGCCTGGGTGACTTTAAGTATGTTCGAAAAGAGTTTTTTTTTTTTTACCATCTTATATAATCAGAATACATACAAATCTATTATTTTTATTCACCTTTTCTTTAATGATTATTTCTAAATAAATAATCAAAACATAAGTATTTGTGTAAGCAGTTATACAAAGTAGTAAAAAAAAAAAAAAATTAAAAAAAATTGATAATGCATAATATTTTTTTATTTAAAAATCAAGGAAATATCTCTAGGCCCATTTTGCTCACATTAGACTAGGGGCCATTCAAAGAAATGTCACATGCAAGATCTTAAAACCTATTTTATTATATAAGTTACCTATATTTACGGATGTAATTAATGTCACAAGCAAACAATTTTTTTTTTCTTTTGTCTTGTTTGGAAGCAATAATTATCTTCTCTTCTTTTTCTTTTTCTTTTTTTCTTTTTTTTCTTTTTTCTTTTTTTCCTCAGCGCAAGGACAAACCAAACATTCTTCTTCCAGTTTTACTATGAACACAATATCTGTATTTTGCATTTCTATGACCGATTTCTGTGTACCTATAGATTTCTGCTTCTTTGTATTTCTTTACTGACGACAAAATTTTGGAAGTAAGACATGTGAGTATATGATCAACTTGAGGAATTTTGAACAATATAAACAATCTCGTATGATTTAGTGGCTTCTAAATTAGCAATCTCTATAAGCTTATTAGATTTTTTTATTTATTAAAAAATCGATTCATGAACCAAAGTCAATTGAATCACAAGGATATATTATTTACATTTATGCAAAACAATTCAAAGCCTTCAAATCAGTTATGTTTTGTGATGCATCATTATAGAAATCATTTAGAGCACCAGGATGCCCCTTGATTTGATTTGATTTTATTATTTTTCAGTTTATGCCTAATGGAAATCTGGACCATAATATTGTACATTTCTTAGCACTCAGGATTGAAAATTTAATTGACATGAAGGGTTCATTGAGAAAGATAGGAGTTATTGACAATATGGATCAATTTCAGTTTATTTATTTTTTGTTTCTTTTTTCTTTATATAAACTTCCATTCTTTTAATTGTCATGATCAACAAAATGTTGGTATGAACTTTAGTTTGGAGAAGGGGGAATATTACGTGTCTTTCAAAAATACAAATTCTTCCCTCGCATTCTTTTTCCTGCAATTGACTTAATAGAAAAATAAAAAATAAAAATTACCCAATTTCTTTTAATACCAAATTTTATTTTATCATATTACCATCATTTTCATCTACCCACTACTAGTGGCGGAGCCAGAAAATTAAATTAGAGGGGACACTTATTAATTATACTCTCTCCGTCCCAAAATAATGGTCCATTTTGGGAAATTCAAATTTTTTTGATAGTACAATTATTTTACTTTAAAAAAGTTGATTTTCCAAAATTACCCTTTGATAGTGCATTTCTTATTTTACATGTCATTATTGTACTTTTTATATTGTTTATGAATTTTAAAAAAAAAAGGCAAAATAAAAAATTTATATTATTTTTGTACTTGATTTTTTAAGAGGGACTAATATTTTGGGACAGAGGGAGTAATAATTTTTACAAAAATATTTCACGCAAGTTTTTACTATTGATTTCGAGAAACAAAAAATAATAATAATCAGTGTGTTTGGTTTCAGTTTTCTGAAAACTGAGTTTTTTTATTTTTCGTATTTTTTTTTGTTTTTAATGAATATTTTTTAAATTTTAAGTAATTTTTTTACTTTTTTAAATGTACCTTACTTAAATGTTTCTAAATAGTAAAATATTTGTGAAAACATATTTTAAAAAATTAATAAATATACAAAAATACAAAAAATATACTGAAATTTCTTTTCTTTTCTTTTTTTTTTTGTATATTTTGGCATTTAATGTATTTTTTTCATAAATATTATACTTTTTAAGTGTATTTATATTAGGTGTTTCTAAAAATAAAATAAAAAAAATTGCTTAAAATATTGAAAAAATTCATTCAAAACATTAAAATACGAAAAATAAAAAAATAGAATTTTCTGAAAACTGGAAACAAACAAGCTGAATGCTATTTGTAACTAGTGTATCAGGGACAATACAAAAATAAATGGATATAAGCCTTAAAATAAATTATATAATGACAAATTATTTTTTTATACAAAATTTGATTGAAAATTTAATATAATGGTAATACCACATCATCATTGGTATGTGATATCACCGACTAATGGTAAATAAACAAATAGAGAGCGAACCTCACATTTGGGAAGTGGGTTGGCTTTTTTGGCTATTTTAGCCTGGGCTTAAAAGCTTGGTTTGGGAAGGGCTTTTTGGCTTTTTTGAGTTTTTTTGTGAGAGAAGAATGTAAGAATTATGGGTTGGATGTGATGTTTTGTTTGTTATGGCTAAAATAGCCTATTTTGTTTTTTGTGGCTAAAATAGCCAAAAAAGCCTGCAAATCCACTTGCCAAACACAGACTAAATTTCATATCTTTATAGTGAGATTACTTATACTTACATATCACTAATAATGGCATCGCCGTTACATTCAAAAAATTTCATAGATAATATGATTTATTTATAATAGTCTCTTCATTTTTAATCAAAATAATTATTATTGTTCTCATAATTTTTAAAATGTCAATGACATGTCACTCTAATAATATTTTTATAATTTTTTATTTAAAATATTTTCTTTATATTTATAAAAATAAAAAATTCAAAATCCAAAAGGGGGCACTTAACACTGATCCCATGCTTCCTCCGCCACGCCCACCACCAAATCCTTCTCTATGTATCATCACAATATTCTCCAATTCTCCTCGGTAACACACCAATTTTTTTATTTTTCTTTGCCGGGTCAATTTTATCTTTATAAATTTAGGTGTCGTTTGGGAAGAGTTCATTTGGACTCTTTTAGCTCTTTGAGCCACAACAGACAGAATAGGCTATTTGAGCCACAACAGACAAAACATCACATCCAACCCATAATCATTACACTCTTCTCTCATAAAAAAAGTAAAAAAAAAATCAAAAGTCTAGCTTCTAACCAACTTATAGAGAAATTTTGAGAGCATTTGTTAATATTTTTCTAATAAGTGCCTCAATAATATTTTGTTTAGAATTATTTAATAATATTGTTTACCCGCATACACTACAAGAAATGTCACTTTTGGCTACCAAAATATTGGTCGCCAAAAGTCACTTATTTAGTCGCTGAAACGATTTCTAATTGATCATGCCGGTTAATGCAGGCGGCATATCTATATTAGCATTTCTTTATATATATATATATATATATATAACAGGATAGTCCATTTGATACAAGTGCGAGAAAAAGCTTGTGAACAAAGGAACATATAAATGAGTAAGGTTATGTTGTGGGTGTTTGGGAATGGAGTTTTTATGTAGTTTTTTTAGTTGTATGATGTTACTGGATAAAAAAAAATGGATATTTGGGAAAGTAGTTAAGTTTTTTGTGGTTAGATGTGATGTTTGTGAGAAAAAAAGTGAAATGATTATGGAGGGTTGGTTTGGAAAGTGGCTTGCTTTTTTACTTTTTTTAGTTATTTTAGCCTGGGCTAAAAACCTTAGTTTGGGAAGGACTTTTTGATTTTTTTTATTTTTTTGACTTTTTTGTGAGAGAAGAATGTAATGATTATGGGTTAGATGTGATGTTTTACTTGTTGTGGCTAAAATAGTCTATTTTCTCTTTTATGGTTAAAATAGTTAAAAAAACCTACAAAATATGTGTTTGGCAAGTGGATTTGCAGGCTTTTTTGGCTATTTTAGCCATAAAAAATAAAATAGGCTATTTTAGTCATAACAAACAAAACATCACATCCAACCCATAATCAACATTCTTCTCTCATAAAAAAATTCAAAAAAGTCAAAAAGCCAAAAAGTCCTTCCCAAACCAAGCTTTTAAGCCCAGGCTAAAATAGTCAAAAAGCTAAAAAGCCAACCCACTTCCCAAACGGAGGCAAAATCACTTCCCAAACGGTGCCGAAGTTGGATGTGATATTTTATTTAGATTTATTTTTTTTAATTCTGTAAAAAATTTGTCTTTCAGTGTAAAAAATAAAAAAAAATAAAAAAACCTAGCACACCAACTTCTCAAACACCACTTATACATAAATGAATTTTTCACTTGATTTTTTTTTTTTTTAAATTAAACATTGCCTACTAACTGGGACACGCAGTAATAAGTACAAGTCAGGTATGTCTAGTGATAAAATAAAAAAAATTGATAAAAAAATCTGTATAGCAAAAGACAAGTAAATTTGAAATGGAAAGTGAAAAGGATAATATTAGAAATTTTAAATATTTTATTAATATTTTTACTAAATAATTATATAAGTGTAAAATTTATATAGAATCCACATGGTAGGGTATGGTATGGTATGGCATGGGTAAATTACTAATAGATTTTAATAGTTTGATTTAATTCATATCAAGTCTTATTTAAAATAAATTTTGATAAAATTGTCGTTAAAAATAATTTTTGTGACAATTTTTTATATGACGCTAAAAATTGACAATTAATGACTTCTTTTGTCATGATTTTTATAAATTGTCACTAAAACGTATAATTAGTGATTTTTTTTATGATAAATTTTTTTCATATGACCTATTAGACAATAAATCTACTTAGGACCTACACGTACATGAAAGATATTTGATAAAAATATTAATAAAATATTTGGCCGTGCTTACCATTTTCCAGGTGAAAATAAAGTTGATATATAGATGGAATTAGAAGGGTTACAAGACTAGCTATCAGGTACAAGTGAAGTCATTACTGATCTACGTTACATCTTCTGAAGAAACTGATTAATGGTTGCAAATGCATCCTCACATTTCAGTCGAGAGAGAGAGAGAGAGAGTTAGGGTTTTGGACTGATGCAACCTTCGATTCCACTTAGCAGCAGCAGAATGTTTGCTGAATCTGGTGAGCAAGTTCATCGGCACTAAGTCGGCATTCAATTCCAATCTATCAAGAATGTAATAATAACCAATCATTATTGGTTCTCAATAAGATTTAATTTAATCAACACAGTCGATCAATAATATGATGCAAAGTGATTTTTTGTTAGATTTATGTGGAATGAATGGAATGATGATAGTGATCATGATAGTCATAATGAGATGATGATGCTGACAATAGAAATAACATGGTTTTCAGTGACACTCTGAGAGAAATCAGAGGCTCAGTACACTTCAAATTTAAACACACTTCAGTACCATAATATACCTCATGAAAAAACCTGGTTGTGAAATCATCACGGACAAGAGTAATGTTTGAAGAACAAAATTTTCACTCTAGAAAAAAATATTTTTAAAATATACAGATTTTATTTATCTTATGAATAGCTCACACCTACAGTGCAAATGTAAATTGGCATTAAATATTTGAATTCTACACTTATCTTTTTTTTTTTCTTTTTTTTTTTTGCAAATTAGAATGCCATAGTTGTTACTGATAAATTAAAATTTGCAATGGCTACATGGACTTTTTTGAATAAAAATTCCCTTTATGTATCATTTTCTTGAAAAATAAATACTATTGAACTTCACATGTATTAGTGATTTTTTGATGTCTTACTAGTTAAAAGAAAAAGGACTCGTGAAGTGTGTGTGTGCGTGTGTGTGTGGGAGGACAAAAAGAAACACCATGCAGCTCCAAATGAAAAGAACAAACCAAAAGTTATGCCGTAAAAATGTCTATTATACTTATTAAGGGCTATTATTTTAGTATATAATAATTTAGCGAAGAAATTTCAAATTAATAACGTATTCAAATATTTATTGGGGTGTAAAAAATCAATAATGCTACATTTTACAAATAAAGTGTTTAGAATGTACCATGATAGCTCTGCATTTATCTTGATAGTTCAAAATGAATGCAATGCTTCCAGCACAACATTCTTGACCATTTTTTGAAAAAAAATAATTTGGGCCGGTATTTGTTTCATAAAAAATTAGAAGATAGAGCTTCGTATTGATTTTATTTGTTACCTTGATGGTGAATGAGTTAACCATGGTTTCATCAATGGTGTTGATGCTCACATGAAGAATTTCAAGCGAGAGGTCTTCGAGAGCGGATACTATCTTTGAAGCATGTCCTGGAATCCGAGGAGACACAGTCTTGAGAAGAAGATTGGCCCCAGTGAACTTCACCTCCACATCAGCAATAGCTGATTTTGAGTTAGCCACGAGCTCGTTAACACTATCATTAATGGAGGAAGACGAAGAAGAACAAGAAGAAGACGGTTCGAGCGAAGTGGGTATGGTTGGAGAAAGGTAACCTTGGTGCAATCTAGGCTTGTAAGGGCTAGTTGGTTGTGGGGTTCCAGGGCTTATGGGTACGCTTGTAAGTCTAGGGCTCAATGGTGGTTTCCTAGGGCTAAGTGGTGACGGTCTTGGACTTGAGACAATCCTAGGGCTCAGCATTTCACTGTAAACTTTCCTTTGCTTCTTCGTCTCAAGTGAGTGTAGAACTTGTTGCAACTCATTGATATAATCCACAACCCCTCCTATTATTGACGCTTGATCTCCCTACATGAAAGGAGAAAAAATTACAAAAGAGGAGAGGTAAGAGAAAAATGATATACAATATACATAAAATTTATTCAAAACATTCATTTTAAACCAAATGATCCATTAAAAAGTGACACATCTTTTAAAAAATATCACTACCAAATTATTCTGTATAAATTTTCTATTTGCAAATTATTTTCCTAGAAAGGTTATCTCAAAGTTTACATGATATCTATTTGTAAAGTATTTTATATGAAATTTCTATTTCCAATTTATTTTTCAAAATAAGAAGAGCAATATGTATTTCCAACTTAGGCCTCGTTTGGGAACAGGCTAATTTAGTAACTTTTTGGCTATTTGGCTAAAAAGGTAGGTAAAAAAAACTTGTATGTTTGGGATGACTTTTTGGCTAATTACGAAAAGATGTGCAAAAAGTAGAGAGAAAAGAGAATCTTTGACTTTTTGGAATGAGTTGTTGGCTTTTTGGCTAATTTAGTAACTTTTTGGCTAATTGGTTAAAAAAGTAAGTCCCCAAACTATATGATTTAGAAATAACATGATGGATGGATGATTAAAAAAAATATAAGAGATTTATAAAAAATATGAGAGATTTATTTTAAATATTTTAAAACGTTGTTATATTATTGAGTTTAAAAATTGAATATAATTTTTGAATTTAAATAACACTACTCATATGATTATTATACACAATGAGTAGCCTTTTTTATATCTTGATTGATTGTATTTGAATTTTAAAATGTCACCTCACATAATTTTTATTAAAATTTTATATAAAGAATGTTTTTTTTCTTAATGATTATATTTTAAGATGAACAAGATATCTATTCTAAATTGAAGCAACATGTCTACTCTTATATTTCTGAGTTAACAATTTTTTTAGTTTTACCAATACTCAAAAAAAAAAAAAAAAAAAAAAAAAAAAAAAAAAAAACCGTTTGTTGTCTCGACTTGAGAATTAAACACAAGCAAAAATCTTACTCTTTTGACATAGAAGGAAGGCATGAGTGACCGCAACACCGACAAATTCTCGTTCATCTGCTTCCTCCGGTTACGCTCCACCGTTATATGAGACACCTTCTGTTGCCCATCTGGGTTCGCTAACTCCTCCGAAAAACCCTGTGTCTCAGTGTGCTTCTGTCTCTTTCTCTTCGGTGAACAAATTTCAATCTCTGTCTCAGACTCTTGAAAAGCACTTGAAGAAGCTGATTTCTGAGAAACAAGCCTTGTGGGTGTCTCAATCTTTTCTTTTAAACCCAAACCATTTTCCTCCAATGGTGAAAGTACTAGAGGAAACTCTTCCACAGCACCCTCTAAACTCTCAAGAAAGCTGAAGATATCTTCTGATTCTTCAAGAAAATCAAATAAACTGTCACTACCACCCATTTAGAAACTCTCTCTCTCTCTCGCTCTTTCTGAAAACAGCTTAAAGTGGAAAGTAAAGAACACAGATTGGAGTGAGGATGTGATTGTGGGGATTAAGAAAAGAAAAGAAACGAATGGATCAAGGGAAGTGAAAGTGACTGAAACTGAACTATCAACATCAACTCCTTTATGTTGGTTTGATTGATGGGCCTTTTTATTTTTTTTCTGAGAGGGAAATCAGGGAGCACAGAATCCCATGGAGAGCGGAAACAAACCAGCCAAAGATATGACAATAGAGCCGTTTGAGATTTTCTCAGAACAAGAGAGAGAGAGAATAAAAATGGAATTGGTAGAGAGAGAAGAGAGGAAGGGTATATAAAAAGAATAATACTATACCCGTCTATTTTGGAAAGTGGATCAATCTTCTCTTATAAAAAGAAGTTAAAAAATTTTTAAAAAAAAATTAAAAAATGTTCTTAAAATATTTCAAAGTAAGTTCGGTTTTAATTTTTAAAAAAATTTATTTTTTTGTTTTTGATTTTTTTTTTATTTTCATTGAATTTTTTTAATTTTTAAATACACCTAACGTTAATATATTTAAAAAACATAATATTTGTAAAAAAAATATTTTAAAATTCATTAAATACCACAAATACAAAAAAATTATAAAAATTCAACATATTTTTGTATATTTATTACTTTTTAAAATATTTTTTCACAAATATTTTATTATTTAGATACATCTAAATAAGGTACATCTAAAAAAGTAAACAAAATTGCTTAAAATTTTAAAAATATTTATTAAAAACAAAAAAAACACAAAAAAAATCAATTTCTAGAAAATTGAATTTAAAAAACTGAAACCAAACACACTGATAATTATTATGCAATAATATTATGGATCTATCCTTATTAATTTAAAAATTATTCAATGTTTTTATCTTGTGATTCGGATTTATTTTACACATGAATCTTATACTACACAAATTAATTTTCACCATACAATCACCCATTCAAAATTTTCTGATTGGATGATGGTGAGTATCTAGACATTTTCATTATTAATTGTAGAAATTACAATCAGTCTAAGGTTTTAAATAACACGAGATGATTCCAAATTAATCATGATATCAGATATCCAGCTATAAGAGCACCTTCACCGTATATTTCAAATGTGATGGGGGTACTTTAACAGTTATATTTTAGTATCAACTTCACCCTGCCAAAAGCTAATGTGACTTTTGATACGAACACCCTTGATATTTACTTTTTTCTGGTCTTCAATTAAAAATAATATAATATTAGATTTGACATATATAGTGGAGAACTTTCATGTGTCCATTTGTCACATAAAGCCTTCAAAACAAAAAATTAGTATACAAAATTTTGAAGATTTATGTGGAGATGCTTTAAGGATTAAGAATTAGATCGTTTATACGAGTATTCAAACGCTTTCTCAACATAAGAAAAGTTAAAGTTATAATAATTGAAATGATGAATATATATATATATATATATAATATTTTAAAGTCATGTGTCATAAAAATAAAAATTAAAAAAATTATAATTATTGACCTATTGATATTAATTGCGAATTGATATGTATTAACTAATAATTATTTAATGTTGGGCGAATTACATAAACAATCTTTATAATTTGAAATTTGTATCACTTTGATTCATATCCTTTCAATTGTGATATATTTAATCTTTAATTTTGAATCTAGTTTCAAATAAGGATAATTAAAGACAACGTTGCTCCATTTTGAGGGCAAAATCATCAATTTGATAAATATAAACTAATTTGACAAAAATAAATGTTAAAAAATTATTTTTGAATTTTTAAAAATTATTTCTACCCACCAAGATAAAATTATACAAAAATGATAGATCTTTTACATCTTTATTTTTTTATCAAATTAATTTTAGTATGTGTTTAGATGATGATCATATAATGGATGATAGTTTTTATTTTTTTTGGATGGTTATCATGTAATACATGTATTTGTTGTGAACAAATATTTGTTTATGGTTATCATGTAATAGATAATTATTAAACTTTTAATGTGTAATCGATTTGTTTAATACATGAAATGTTTTTAGTTTTGAATTTTTGGTTTAATAATGATATTAAAATTGTAACCATGTTTCACTTTTAAAAAAAATAGAAACTAATTTAACGAAATAAATATAAAAAATTATTTCTACCCTCCTAAAAGATAAAATTATATAAAAATGCTATGTTTTTAATTTTTTTTTTCCACCAATTTAATTTTTAGTTTATTTGAAAAAATTTCTGAAAAGCAAGCCAAACAAAACTTTATAATCAAGAAAAGTTCCAGCATTATTCATTAAAAAAATGTCATTATTGTTCAAACAACATATAAATTCACCAACACAAAATAAGTTGTATGACGAGTTTGCCCTTAAAATTGAACGTTTGCAAATGAAATATCTATAATTGTCCTTGTTTAGAACAAGATTCAAAATTTAGAGTTAATTGTATCACAATTGAAAAATTAGAGATCAAAGTGATACAATTCCCAAATTACAGGGACTGTTTGTGTAATTCGCTCTTTAATGTTAGGAAGTGTGTAAAATGTTTCTAAAAAATATGTTAAAATGTCAAAAAAAAATATTGATTTCAGTAAAAAATATATTAAATTTAGTGAAAAATGCCTCCTATTTTTAAATTTTTTTTACTCTTGTGTTTTAGAGACACTTATTAGTAAGATCCAAATATGGATGCCTTTTTTTTTACCCCACTTTTTTCCCTTTAATTTCGATCTTTTATTAATATTTTAAATTAATATAAAACTTCAGTCTTATTTTTAGGGGGGATTATAACTCTATGTATTTTTTCAAAAGAACATAAAATAAAATAAAATTAGTGGTAAAATTTATGAACATTAATAATTAAATTCACAAAATTATCTACTAATCTATAAATATTTTGTAGAAAACCCACTAATATGTAACTTTTCCTTATTGTTAAGAACAAGAAATTATCTACTAGGTCCATCTCAGTGTAGCAATTGTATAGGTTCATATAATTAGTGTTTCTTTCTTTTTCTCCTACATTTTAGGTGAAGTGATTAATTGTGTGTTTGGTTTGTGTTTATAGAGTAGTTTTTGAGATAAAAAATACGAAAACTTGTTTGGTTTGTCTTTTTTCAAAAATGGTTTTAAAAAATTATTTTGGGAGAGAGTTTTAAAAAAAGTGATTGATTTGATGTGTATGAGAGAGAGTGATTTTGGAAAGTAGATAACCAAACAAAATTTTGAGATTTTTTTTAGAAAAATTTGTTTGGTTTGATTACTTTTGAAAATTTGTTTGTAGAGAATTTTTTCTAATTTTTTTTTTTTTGAAAAACAAATCAAACAAGACCTTAGTGTTCTCTTTTTCTAAGGTGGCCATAGAGTCAGATGGTAAGACAAACCTATCAAATAACTTATCCTTTACTACACCAGCTACCACCTCTATCACCCCTAGCCACCGTTGTTGCTACCTCCAATAACCCCTCCTTGCCACCCTTTACCCTCCAACCCCACCTCATGATTAAGGTGATGAAGTCAGTAGTCTTGAAATAGAATATGACATTATTTATGTAATATTTTCAATCAATAATATAACAAGAAATTTTATTAGTAAAACAATACTAATTCACTTTTACTATATAATCTAGAGATGAGCATATCCCCCTTCATGTGTCTACACATTTTAAAAGTGTGTGAATAATAAACATGTTGTGATCGGGTTCCAAAACAGTGGACTTTATTCAAAAATTGTATTAATCTTACTTTAAATTATAAATTACACTATTTTAAACTAATAAAAATTTATATTTTACTCAAATACTTTAAAAAATGTGTAAACCACTAACAATTATGGAAGATGAGATGAGAGGATGGGCACTACTGGGGCAAAGTCTGCAAGTTGTCTATTTGAAGCTTTGGAATTCATGAAGGCGGCTTTCAATGTGCAGACACGGCATTTCCGTGCCCCTCCCCCCTCTCTGATTAATAATAATATAATATCATATAGTATAATTTCCAATCGAAAAATTTTGCTAATTTATTTAGAAATTTAGGATTGTTTTGTGTATGATTTATGTACGGGGCGAAATATCTTGTGCTTTCCGTATTCCTTGGAGTTCAAGCTTCACGTAACGGCGTCTAACCTGACAACACAGAGAACGGTGAGTTGCCCGGCGGTGGTGAGCCGGATAGACCCTCCAACGATCAAGTCAGATCACTTGAGGAAGAATAATGCTATTCGAGAGAGAGAGAGAGAGAGGGTGTTTCAGATAGCGCAAGTTACTTACCTCTAACGTTCATCCTCCTTTCCTTTTTCTAGGCTGGCCATGCAGCCTCAAGATTGTGCGTGCACTACCTCTGTTGTCCTTCCCTGGACAGTTGGCTGTGCTCGTCTCCCACCACCTTACACGTGTAAAGGCCAGATCTTCCATCAAGTACATGCAAAACTGTCAAACGGTACTAACGCGTGCCTGGAGCAGATATCCTCTCCCTCACGCCATTGGCTCAAGTGACACACCTGACCGGCGTACCAAGACCGGCCTATTCTTTCGAAGAAAATCACAACCACAAAGAACACGACCGAGCTTCCGAGCTATCCGGTCGGGCGCACGCCGACCTCTTCCCGGCCTAAACTCTTTCCGGACTGTCATCTGCTCGGTCGCATCGTGCTAACGCGCCCTACCGCCGAATGCCTAACAGCAACAGCTCGGCCTGGCCTTAGACCATGCCTGGTCGGCAAACCTAGCTCGGCCGTGTAAGACAGGTCGGAGGACCGTGCGATTGAGGGGATAGCTCGGCACCGAAAGGTTTGCCACACCTGCGTCGCCGTAGCTCGGTCGGATTGTCCGGTGCAAATCTGCCCTCTCAATTGCCCCCTAATCCCATCCGAGCTAATCGTGATTGGGGTTACCACCATGACCGAGCTAACGGTCCCCGAGTTGCGCCAGTACCAAGCCGAGCGTGATTGGTTTTGAAGCCGTTACCGAGCTATCCCATTTGGTCGGTCATTGTTTCAGTAGTCTTGTCAAGGGTCGTACAGCCGTACTGACAGAGTCGCCCTCGCGGTGCCACGTGGCCTCACGCCATTGGTGACGTGCAACCCTACAGCTGTCTTTTCGTGCGTGAAATTCAAACGACTGCTGCCCATTGGCTTTCCTACCACTTTTATACACACAAACGAGGGGTCAAACACCCCCCACTGTTCATCTCCAACCACGAGCCTCCAAACCCTAGCTCTCAAGACCTCCCAACTTCTGCCATTGCTACCGCTGTTGCCCCATTGGCTCCTCTTCATCCATTTTTGCACCCTCAGGAGCTGCAATCGAGCTCGTGATCGACTGACCCCTTCTT